TTCTCTTAAGTAGTAATGCAGAATGGGCCAACTACATAACAGAATGGAATGCTAACACAGTACCATAGCCATGGACAGACAACTAGGGGTCCAAGAGCGATGCACTGAGTAATCCGCCTAGAAAGACAGCCCAGTGGTCAACCAGGAATGGACAAAGCTGAGGCCCTGCAAACATGCAACGGTAACTCAATAACAACATAAAATAATGGCTCTAAAACAACACTGTGCATAAGAATCAACTGGGAGCTTATTAGAAATTTATTTTCTGGGTTCTTTCCTGGCTCAGTAGTTGTGGGATGGAGCCAGGGAAGGGTTATTTTTAAAAAACCCTCACCCAAGGATATATTTTTATTTTATTATTATTATTGAATTTATATTTATTGTTTAAATTATTACAGCGTACCCTTTTTTCCCCATTGACCCCTTCTACCCTTCACCCAACCCCCCACCCCAGGCCTTTCACCACACTATTGTCTGTGTCCACGGGGATTTTTAAAATTTATTTTAGACGGAGAGAAAGGGAAAGAGAGGGAGAGAGAAACATAGATCGGCTTTTGGTGTATGGGACTCCAGTGACTGAACCACCCGGCCAGGGCAGGGAAGGGTCATGTTTAACAAGACACCCAGGTGATTCTGATGTAAGTGATCTGAGGGCATCTGATCACTAAACTCTAACCCAAGGTTTAGAAGACTGTTGGTGGCTTCCAATAGCTGGTTTCTCTGCATTTGGAAAGTGAAGACTCATAGGTGGGTCGGTTATGGGTCTACACGTGCCAATAATAGGAGGTCAGGACCCAAGGTAGAGAAAAATAACAGAGATCACCCTTGCAGGAAGGAGTAAACATAGACTTTATTAACTTAAAGATGGGTAGCAGCCCAAAGTGACCATTTGTATTTCTGTCTTCAACTGTAATCCTCTGGGGGAAAGAAATATTTTTTCTAAATGTCTCAGCTCTATCACATACAAACAAGAAGTACAGTGATGCTACTTCTGTTATTTAAAAATTTGCCAAGAGTTTTTAGTATCTATATTCTCATTTGAATCTTCCAGCATCCTTAAAAGTGAACAGGATAGGTGTTCTTACCAGGGCCAAGTTTCTTATAATCATCAGTAATTCAACTGCTTTATTTAAGGAGCTCAATGTTGTAACAAGACAAAAGGATTCCTCTCTGAATTTGGAGCTGTGCCAGACATTTTAAATAAGTGATGTCCCAACTCCTTAGTGTCTTTGTACTGAACTGTCTTGGATGTTGGGGTCTTCCCCACATCTGTTCCCCTAGGTGACAGAAGATGTTAGACCATCCACTGAATTGGATTGAGAATGGGAATCCATAAGACAGAGTGCTTGCACCTTTACACCATTGATTTTCAACAGTGTGCTTCAAGACTTTTTAAAACATGCAGTACCTGACTATTTAGTCAGGGGCACTGACCTCTTTTCCTTAGACTGTCAAATAAAAAAATGACAACAGCCAACACAATAGCCGTCTGGTGCGAGTGAATCAAAATTATACCTATTTCTTTTGTCAGATCGGCAAAAAAATAGGTGTGGGTTTTTTTTGTGGTCTTTTTTTTTTTTTTTGGTGTGCTGCAGGATTTTGGCAATTACTTTATGTGTGCCGTGAGACAAAAAAGGTTGAAAATCGCTGCTCTACACCAGTGTATTCAATCAACAGTCATTGAGTGCCAGGAGTTAGAAATACAAAAACATTTCTCTTTGCCTCTTAAGAATTCCAGAATCTAGGAGAGGAAATTAGTCGATGTTGAGTAAATAAAAAAGCAAATAAAAAAGCAAATCGTTGCATGAGTGGCTTTCTATGCCTCTGTCCCTTGCAGTACTCTAAGCATTATGGATTGAGCAGTACAAGCGGATATAGCAGGTCTTAAATATCCCCGTTAGGGTCATTATTTTCCTGGCAAACCAGTCCTGGCAGAATATCCCACTTTGGTCTCCCAACACATTGATATATATATCAGATCGATGTCCTTGAAAGGTGGCATTGGCTGCTCGGGAGGCACGCAGCTGAGCGGAGGGGGACCTGAGCTTCCACCTGCTGTGGTGACTTACTGCCTCTTTCACCCAAAGCAAGCGACTTAACCAATCTGGTGCCCTGCTTTTCTCATTTGTTGGCAGGATGATTTAGATCCTGCCTCCCTCGTCACAGTCAGTGTGATGCAATGAGATAATAAATGTACAAGTTCTAAACAAATCAATGCAATTTCTGAGCTAATCTTCCATCAGTTTGCCACCAAGTTTATGCCACATTTCACCGATCATCCTTTTACCTGCCTTTATAACTAACTGCCCAAGGTCTTAAATGTTAAAAAGAAAGCGGGGAGCGGGGGGGGACTTGGAATTATTGTGTTTATTTGCATTCAAGTTTGTCTCCATCATTTGTATCTCTGTGTGCTAATTTATTTTGTAGGGAAGATAGATTTTGTTGTTTAATATATCTGTTGTACCACTTTGGCATTCCAGCACTTATTTACCCAAAACATAACTTAAGGCCTGCAAGCCTTCAGCAGCTGGCTGATGAATCATGTTCAACATTCATACAGCACTGCTGGCACTTAGCAAAGGAACACCCATGCTCATCACCTGCCCCTGTCAGTTGTTCCTCTTCTAATAAAGTGCATCTGTTTTGGTAACTGAATAAAAACACACCAAGTGGAGAAAGGCTGGGTGTGGAGTAATGTAATCAGGGCAGTCATACAGTATCAGGGAGAGAAGATGGCTTGGAAGGAGCTTATTAAAACAGAAGCAGAGTGGAAAGGACCGAAGCACAGCTCCTCTTATAACCTTCGAGGGTCACATTCCTCGAATGTACTTGGCCCAGTATATCCCCCAAGTTAATATTTTAAGGGGACAAGATATCCATAAGCTCCCTTCTGAACTGCCACAAACGGTTTACATGGCCTTTCCCCATTAGGATCATTTTTACATTTTGTAAAGGATTATAAATTTTTAAGGAAGTTCAAAGTTCAGAGCTCCACTAGCAGTGCTCGTTAATATTGGCTTTCGTGGCTATGTTTGGTGTCCTGAGGAAGTGATTAATTGAAAATACCCTAGTTTTAAAAGTAAAACAGGCCCAGCCGGGCGTGGCTCAGCGGTTGAGCATCGACCTAGGATCCAGGCAATCGGGGTTCGGTTCCTGGTCAGGGCACATGCCCGGGTTGGGGGCTCGATCAGTGACTCTCTCATCATTGATGTTTCTATCTCTCTCTCTCTGAAATCAATAAAGATATANTCGACCTAGGATCCAGGCGATCGGGGTTCGATTCCTGGTCAGGGCACATGCCCGGGTTGGGGGCTCGATCAGTGACTCTCTCATCATTGATGTTTCTATCTCTCTCTCTCTGAAATCAATAAAGATATATTAAAAATAAGATAAAACAGCAGGGTGATTGACATTTGCAGTCTGGTATTTCACACAGTTCTCACTACTCATTGTATTTTTAAGTTTTTCCTTTGACTCTCCAGTAATATATAATTTTGTGTTTTATTTAAAAGAGAACTTAAACATGTTCAAGGTGCCGGTCTGCCTTGAATCTCATCATCTCAGAGTGTTGGGGGGAGGCGATAATTAGGGGGATGCAGAATGTTTGAAATGTATTTGAAAGCAAGTTGAGTAAAAACAGTATCACTATAAGTTATAGGCCTATGTTGTTGTTGTTGTTTTGTTTCTTTTAAGGATTTACCTGGTAGCATTCTTAAAGTTATTACTTGCTGAGAAAAGAATCCCTATCCAAGATGGAAAATCAGGAACTTCAGCTCAGCAGCATCTTTCTTTCCATTTCCAGTTTTGTTGATGATTACACTGCTCCTTTCTTTAAACTTCAGTTAAGTCATTTTCACCTCTGTGTGTATATTTTTTTCTATGAAACAAAATCTGTTATACCTGATATTTTATTAACAGGTGTTCTGGAAATAATCTGCCTCAAAAATAACACTAAATATAGCACACAAGTTCAAGGGTTTTTTGAATGTTAATTATGACTTTAAAAATCACTCTAATGCATGCCTCACACGGAAGCCATTTATTGTTTAAAAAAACAAAAACTGATGATAAAGGATACATATCCTACAGCTCTGTCATCGTGGTTAAATATGTGACTCAGATCACATATTAGCATTTTTACCATATGGCTGAAAGGGTAGAGAATGTATGTGTAGGGGAATAAGTTAGTAATATTTTGGCCATCTGGTAAATAAATATGCCAGTAGCAGGAATTTTAATATTTATTTAGTTATATGGATGCAACCTTTGACCTGAAATAACCTCTAATGCAGTAAAGTAGAACCAAATTTATATTTCTCAAATATTGTTGATCTAAGTCACTATATATTTTACCGTCTACTATGTGCTCTTAAAAATCTGACTTCGATTATATGTTTCTTATGTTTATTTATTTATTAAGGCTCCTTAAAGTGCCTAATTTAAAAAACTCTTTCAGCAGAGGCCAAAGGATGGGATCCAGCATAAGTGCTGCCATTCTGCTCTGCCACCCACCACTGTGTAGTCTGGGATAAATTACTCAGCTTCTCTGAGCCTCAAATTCTTCATCTGTAAAGAGTGAAGAACATATTGTCAAACAGTATCTCTCAAAGGGTGGGCCATGGGGGGACATGGATTGATGCATCAAAATCATGAGGGAAGCCCGTCCTAAGTACCAACATTGTAGCCCCTCCCTCCAGAGAAGATTCTGAGTTAGTATGTCTTGGAAACAATCTATGAATCTGCACTTTTAGTCACTTGCCCAAGTGACTCTGAGGTACACTGAACTACTGTTATGGAAACGAGCTGATTATAGCACTTAGAGCCCTTGAAAAATATGTAGTTAGCTAATCCTGACAAATACCAAAATGTCTGTCGATAATTTATTAATAAGCATATCTCTAAAAAACTAATTTTCATATCCTGGAAACTTAACACTTGACAGCACTGGTGCTTAAAATATTCCAACTTTATTGAAAACAGGAGTTCATATTGAGTAAGTCATGCTGGTAATTCATTAAATATATGTCTCAATTCTCCTGTTTAATTAGATCTTTTTTTTCTTCTTGCACAGGAAACCATAAAATATCCATGGACTAGATCTAAATCAGGAACCCAGATGAACTTACAGAAGCTAGCATGGGATTCTTAGTTTTTCAAGATCCATACACACCATACCCTTAAAACACCACAACTCCAGTGGCCAGGCTTTCTCCGGTTTTGTGAGGATTTACCAAAACTTGGATGATGGAAAAGCAAAGGACTTAATTACTCACTTGATATCATCTAACATCAACAGGAAAGTGAGCCAGACGGCAGTACAGCCATGGAAAAAAATTCAAGTTTATGGAAGAACCTAATAGATGAACACCCAGTCTGCACAAGCTGGAAGCAAGAGGCCGAGGGAGCCATTTATCATCTTGCCAGTATTTTATTCGTAGTAGGTTTCATGGGTGGCAGTGGATTCTTCGGACTCCTTTATGTCTTCAGTTTGCTGGGGTTGGGTTTTCTCTGCTCTGCCGTCTGGGCTTGGATAGATGTCTGCGCAGCCGACATCTTCTCCTGGAATTTTGTTCTCTTTATTATCTGCTTCGTGCAGTTTGTTCACATTGCATATCAAGTGCGCAGCATAACCTTTGCCCGAGAATTCCAGCTGTTGTACAGCTCCATTTTCCAGCCTCTGGGGACCTCCTTGCCTGTCTTCAGAACCATTGCTCTGAGCTCTGAAGTGGTTACTTTGGAAAAGGAGCACTGTTACGCCATGCAGGGGAAAACTTCCATTGATAAACTCTCTCTGCTTGTCTCAGGAAGGTCTGTACTCTTGGTGCTTGAATGTCTTTCTTCTACAATAGTTATTAGTGTATTTTTCTTTCTGCTACATTTTCCATCTCAGCGTAGCATAGTCCTGGATGGCATTTAACACCCTGAGGCATGAGAAAGCCCCTGGCACACAAGTCATGGGCATAGGCATTTAGAGTACATGGCATTACATACCTGAAGCAAGAAATAATCTAGAGCCTTAATATTTCTTTTTAGGAATCAAATGTATGAATTGGTTTATCAAAATATGCTACGTGTTTCCAGGCTAATTACTGGAAGTCAAGAAGAGTACTGAATTAATTCAATACTTATGTTGGCATGCAAAGTATTTTAAGTACTCTCTCATAGAGCATTCTTTTAAGTAATAGAGAACATTAAATTTTATAATGATTAATTTCATAATGATCAGCTCTTTCAGTAATTTCTAGCAGTTGTCCATTTGCTAGAAGTGAGTTGGGTATACCTCATTATATATGTATATATACAGTTAGTTAACTCTTGAACAACACAGGGGGAGGGATGCTGGCCCACACACAGTCAAAAATCCACATGTAACTTTTGACTCCCCAGAAACTTATTAATAGCCTACTGTTGACTAGAAGCCTTACCCATCACTTAGTCGGTTAACACATATTTTGCATGTTATGTGTATTATATCCTGTATTCTTACAATAAACTAAGCTAAAGAAGAGAAAATGTTATTAAGAAAACTGTAAGAAAGAGAAAATATAATTACAATATTTATTGAAAAAAATCGCATANGTGTATTATATCCTGTATTCTTACAATAAACTAAGCTAAAGAAGAGAAAACGTTATTAAGAAAACTATAAGAAAGAGAAAATATAATTACAATATTTATTGAAAAAAATCGCATATAAGTGGACCTGCACAGTTCAAACCGTATCGTTCAAGGGTCAATATATATATATATATTGAAAAGAAAGTTTGGGGGAGGAAACAATATGATTACTTACGTTTTTTAAAGGTTAAGTACTTAATTTTCAGAGGTATTTACAGTGGTGCTCCTTCATGTTCTTTGATTTCTACTTAACTTAAAATCCAACTGTGTGTACTAAAACTTTTTACTGAAGTGTAATATAAATGCAGAAATGGACATATATCATATATGTAAAGGCTTGATGAGTTTCGCCCAATAGTCCAGAATCCTGTGTGGGGAACATCAGTACATGAGTCTTACAGGAGATTTGCCACTTTAATATAGGCATTTAATATTTGCCCTTCAAAATTTTAAAAGCCGAAAAGGTCATCAGAGATCTGAACTACTGTTCCCTCCCCTTGCCCCAAATATGTGCTGGCTTTTTCCTTGCTCATAAGTGCTGTTCTTTGTGTCTGGGTAGGATCAGAGTGACAGTTGACGGCGAATTTCTGCATTACATTTTCCCCTTCCAGTTCCTGGATTCTCCTGAATGGGACTCACTGAGACCCACAGAGGAAGGCACTTTTCAGGTAAGGGATAAGGGGTGCACACAGTCAACACGGCCTCTTCCGAACAGATAACAAACAACAGCAGGTGACAGAGTAATTTATATTTAACTTTGGAATGTACTATGCCCTAGGCATGACTTCCCAAAGCTGTTTGACTCTTGCTGGTTAATGTCACTTTATAGGGGTCCAGCCACAGGGAGAAAAATGGGTATTTCATATGAACAGAGAGGAGTCTGTGAGAAATAGTCTGTAAAAAATTTTTTTTTGCTTAGCTGCATATGTGGGAATTAAGGTATAATTAATTGAGATTTGACTGTACACTAAACACTGCCACTGTGTCTGTTTAGAGAAACACCAAGAAAAAGTCTTCCCTTATTACAAAATAAGTGATTTTTAAAATTTAAAATGCTGATGGATTACAGTTGTTTTCTAGCAACAAAATGCTAAATTTCCTATCCTTGCTCTGCTGCCATGTCTGGAAGTTTTGAAAGATAATTAGTTCAGTAGGTTCCATCTATTATGGTATATACTGTTTTCCTATGATTAATACATGTGTTAAATGTCCACGGTCTTTAGGACTGACTGGGAAATACTTCTCTAACATTAGCCAGCTTTATTAATTTTTAGTATAAGTAGCTCTTACATCAATAAAATGCAAAATATAGATATCTGAACTTAGAAAACAGATAAATTGCAGATGGGCACAGCATTGTGATTGTGATTATACATGTTATAAATTATAGCATTATATTTTGTGGTTTCTTTTTCTAATCTTACAATATGTTTTGGGTCAGTGGGCTTTTTTAACCTAAAAAAGCAGAAGGGAAATTCATTTAAAATTTGGGGCACAAAAAAAGTGACAGAACTTTTTCTGTTCCCTCATCTTTGTTTATACGTGGTTTTATTTTATTTTTTTAGGTAACCCTCACAGCAGAAACTGATTGTCGATATGTGTCTTGGAGGAGAAAGAAATTATATTTGCTCTTCGCTCAGCATCGTTACATCTCCCGCCTGTTTTCAGTTTTAATTGGCAGTGACATTGCAGATAAACTCTATGCCTTGAATGACAGGGTATATGTAGGAAAAAAATACCACTACGATATCCGGTTACCCAACTTCTATCAACTTCAGGAGACAAGTCCTGAAAAGCCCAGATCACCCCTGATAGGACATTGTCGCAATTCCAGACAATACTGTGATAAATGACATCGAAGTTGGAAGTTTTATATTTAAAAAAAACAAAACACCTCTCTTCATCATTCCCCAAATGAAATAGCTAAATATAGAAAACTGAGCTCACTAATATTTTTATAAATCAAACTCAGAGGCAAGATGCCATTGCCAGCTCTTTTATTCAGCTCAACTTGTGCATTGTGAATAAATTTTACCAATTTTTCTGTATTTCTTATTTGAATAACTGGGGGGCAGGATGAATACGGGCGTTTGCCCTTTTCTGCATCAGAACTGAGAGAATGAAATTCTGCATTTTCAAGCGTTTCCTCAGGTGGATTCAAATCTGCTCTCTTGCCCTACTGGGTTAGGCACTGCTTCCGGCAGGGACTCGCAGGAGGGGGGGCTGATGCAGAAACACATGAGTACTTCCAGAATTCACTTCTTGCTACAACCTCTGCTGAAAGCAAGATGCATTATTGTGGTGAGGGAGCAATTATTTATTTTAAATGTGAAGTTATTTAATGACTAGAAAGCAGAACAAATGCGAGAAATGATAATATTCCAATCTTGACTATTCTGTTGCTACTCATTCATCAGCGTAATCTTTCAATAACACATTTTAAAAGAGGCACTTCATGGAAAACAAAAATGCATAATAATTACTGAGTCAAAAGAATACTTGTGAACAAGTAGTAAGAATGTTACACAGCATTTTATTTCATACGTTCGGCTGGAAGGGCAAGCATGAATGGTTTGACGGGACCGTGAGGGACTCCAAGCAAATGCTCCACCCACCAAACAAATAAGGGAGTCTGACAGCCATTCCTGCAGCGTTATAAAGAAGAGCTTAAGAAAGAGACAAATCCTCAGATCCTATCCCTATTTTTGGAAAACTGTTTTTTTGAACATCACATGCAAGCCATGTTCTTTGGGAGAAACATATATCATCATAAATTTAACAACTGTATATTGAGTACCTATCATGGCTTTGGGTGCTGACTTGGGCAGTGGGGATACATCAGGTAACTGACAGAGGTCCCATTCCTCACAGAACTTACATTCTAGGGGTGGAAGACAGATAATAAATCAGAAAAACCTAGAGCTAGAAAGAGATAGTGACATGGGAAAAGATAAATCAGGGGAGGTGGATAGGAAGGGGTATTGCAATTTAATAGGATGGTCAAGGAAGCCCTGAGTGAGCAGGTAATGTTTAAACGAAACCTGAAAGAGGCAAAGGAACAATCCCTGCAGATATCTGGGGAAAGAGCAACCTGGGCAGAGAGGAGAACACATGAGCAGCATGGCTAGAGCAGATTGAGCGCTAAGGAGAGAAGCAAAGAGGTGATTTGGGGCAGATTGGGTGGGGCCGAATAAGTCATGGTGTGATATGCCAACTAGACCCTGAAGTAAACAGAGTCTAGAGTTCAAGAGAAAGGTTTGGGCTAGAGATAAACGTTTGGGAGTATTTCGCATAGGGATGATATTTAAAGCTATGAGACTAGATGAGATAACCAAAGGAGTGTCAATTCAGAAGAAAAATGGTCCAAGGACCTTTCCTTGGGGTTCCCCATTGTTAAGAGGACAGGGAGATGGGGAAAAGTCAGCAAGACATGAGAAAGAGCAGCTAGTGAGGTGGGAAGAAGCGCAGGAGCGTGGAGTCCTTGAAGCCAAGTGAAGAGTGTTTCAAGGAGAAGGGAGTGACGGACTGCCTCAAATTCGGCAGACAAGTGATGGGAGGTTTGAGGATAAGTCATTGGGTTGAGCAGCATGGAGGTCTCTGGTGAGCTTGAGAGGACAGTTTTAGTGGAGTCATTGGGAACAAAAACGTAGCTGAAGTAGGCTGAGGGGAAAGGAAAGGAAAGAGTTTGGAAGAGCAAGTATAAGCAAGTTTTTCAAGGAGTTTTTTGATACAAAGAGAAACAGAAATGGACAGTAGCCTGAGCAGGAAATGACATCAAGAGAGAGGATGTTTTTGTTGTTGTTTTGAAGATAAGAGAAACAATGGCATACTGGTATGCTGGTGGGAATGATTCCAAAGACAGGAGTGAACTGCTGGAGTGATGACCTTGAGCAGGTGAGTGATGATGGGATCCAGTGACCTTAAAACAGGAACGTGGACAATTAATCACTGGTAAGGAGAGAAGGCAGAATACATAGGAAGACAGTGAGAGATGTGGGAACTTGTAAAAGTTTGGTCATAATCCCTTCTATTTTCTCAGTGACCTGAGAAGCAAAGTCAGCAAGGAGGATGGGGAAGTATTGGGATTATGCAGAGCACACTGCTTTTTCTGCCAGAAGTGGTACAATTCGACAAGGTCTGAATCATCAGTCTGGATGAGCTACTGAGCTACTTAAGTTCAGCATGAACTGAGGAAAAGCTGGAGGGCTTTTTCTGTCTCCTGGACACATATGGCCATCAAGGGCAGCTCTTACAAGCAGACAGAGGGCAGCTGTCTGTCTGCTGCAATTGAAGGCCTTCAGGAAGCATGCACTGGGTTGTCAGAGGGCTTTGCAATGGCTCTGGGAGATTCCATTGACTTTTTAGAGAGAATTGAAGGGAACAGGAGAGACACAGAGAAACATCAATGTGAGAGGGACACATCGATTGGTTGCCTCCCGCACACTCCCAGACCAGAGCAGGGGATCCAGCCTGCAACCAAGGTGCCTGTCCTTGACTGGAATCAAATCGGGGACCCTTCAGTCCAAGGGCCAATGCTCTAACCACTAAGCAAAACAGGCCAAGGCAGAAATTCATTTCTTTGAGTCTTTAAGACTTTGTGGTATTAAATATTAAAATAAAGCTCCTTTAGGAGAAGTTACACCTTATGTTAGTACCAGCTAATAGTTTAACGGTTTAATTATTACATAGCTTTGTAACCATGAACGTCAACTGAGAACAAAGCCACACATAAATGGAATGAAGGTTTTTCACTCAAATGTGGCAGAGAGAGAAGACTTTATATACAAGTTTTCCAGAAATCTAACCATTTTTAGGATGAAGAGGGGGGAGTACAAACATGACAGGATAAAGGCACTGCTGAAAGAGGAGGTAAAGAGATGCTGTGAAACCTTCACACTTTTGTGGGGGGCTAGCACCATCCCTCTGTATGAACAGATATGCTATTATACAACGCCTTGGTTTGCACCCAGGTTTTCTCACTTAAATCAAAACCCTGTAGTGACCTCTATGTATCTACTCTGCATGTTTGGTTCAAAATGTCTAGCAAATCACATTACACTATCTCAAAACAACCCAGATGGAAAGAAAAAACGGATATCCTGGGAAAGTACCCCTCAAGTGCAGTATCACAGTGCACTTAAATTTTAATTTCTATTAAAAATTGGGATAATTTTAATAGCCTAACTGTTCCAGGTCTAAATCCCTTTGATTTGATTATTATGGGTAAAAATGCAAAAAGATGAGGAACTAGTTACTTTCTTGAGTTCAAAATGCTTTATGGCATTGTATAGAAGCTCTGCATATGCATAAATAAATGGAGCCTCTTGTTCAAAAAGCATTAAGAATTTCAAGACCGAGACAATGCAGCATTAAACCAAGCGTGGGACTCTTGTAAGCTCGAGGCTCTTTGTGACTGTGCAGGTCCTATGGCCACGAAGCTGGCCCTGGCCAAGAGCTGTCCCTAGGACTTAAAGGAATTGGGGTGACTGCTGTGTGCTTTTCTGCCCTAAATGTCATGGTCAGGAAAGACTGTGAGAAATAGACTGAGGGGTAAAGGGAGTAGCTTAAAAAGAGCCCATAAACACCTCTAACCCAGGCACTCAGGCAGGTTCCCAGGGCCTTCAGGCCCCTCTTGCACAGTCTTCACTTCACCTGGATATTTGAAGGCTTCCCATCCCCCCGGGGGGCTGGTCCTTTGAACCCGATTTTACCTCTGTCCAAATATGAGAAGGGAGCAACATGATTTGCCCTGGACTCTGCACTCCTAGGAGCTCATGGTGCTGAGATTAATCTACCATAAAAAACATTATGATGCTCTCTGAGCACATGGGGTGAAGAACTCTCTCTCCTCTTCAACAGAGGAGCAGAAGGAAAGTATTTGCTCTCTGCTCATCTGGGTAAGCTCCTGGTGTCATATTGTTACACTGCACAGAACCAGGACAGAACTGGTTTGACAGAGCAGTTACAAAGTGAAATCCCTCAGCTAAGCCGGCAAGAGCCATAAGAAAAACATGCCAGGCAGATAGTTCATATTATTATAAGTGCAACACATCATACAACATTATGTACTTGAGAGTCCTGGTTTGACCAAGGGCATAAATATATAAGTGGCATTGGCGTGCACTTTCTAACTGGGTTGCATGTTCCATTACATTGCACATGATTATAGAAGAAATTAACCTTCAGAAATGGTGGTCCCAAATTAATATTTTTTTAGTAAATGACAGTTTTTACACAAACTAGAGAAATCACCATGGATTTCTCACCCAATTAATTCCATTATTTGTCTTCATTCTATGAAAATTTAACCCATACATATCAATAAAAAATACAAATTAATATCAGTATCATATAGACCAATTATAATAAAATACAAGTTTAATTTTATAGAACTTTGTTTCTTCAAGACCAAAAATCTTACGATAATGAAAAGATGTGGCAAGACTGAAATAATAGTTACTTTATCTCTTAGTCATCTCACCATGAGTATTTCCATCATTTAATGCTGGGTTGAACTTTTGCATATAATATCAGCATGATTTGAACATAATTTGAAGTTTTATTATTATGCTAAATTTGAGTAGTTTAAAAAACTGCTAGCTATTTAAGACTGACAGGGAACTTTCATTTTCCCCTTAAGAACTGATTATTTATATCTTGAATTATAATTTTTCCCTTTACTCTATTTCTTTTATTTTTATTTTTCAATTTTTTATTAAATTTATTGGGGTGACATTGGTTAATAAAATTGCATAGGTTTCAGGTGTACAAGTCTATAATACACCATCTGTATGTTGTATTGTGTGCTCACCACTACAGGTAAAGTCTCCTTCCATCACCATTTATCCCACCTTTACCCTCTTCTACCGCCCCCCACCCCCATTTCCCTCTGGTAATCACCATACTGCTGACAGTGTCTATGAGGATTTTTCTTTGCTTAACCCCCTCACCCTTTTTCTCCCAGCCCCGCAACTCCCCTCCCCTCTGACAGCTGTCAGTCTGTTCTCTGTATCTATGAATCTGTTTCTATTTTGCTTGTTAGTTC